CGGTCCCCGATAGCTCAGACTCCTGCTCGATTCTGGGGAGGCGATCGAGGACCCAATCACCGTGGATTCTGATCTCGAATAACGGAATAAGGGTATGAATCTCGAGCTCGGATTTCGATTCCAGAGCGCCGCGCCAGCGCCTCGAGCGCAAAGCTGAGGAGCTTGTCGGGTCTGGGTCGCTAAAAGTCCGAATCCGGGCTCGTGGTTGACGTGAGAGGTTCGTGGGTATTTTCCGATTGGAAATATTTCACGGTCGAAACATTTTCGATACGTGATGAAATCAGTCAGCGACTCTCCATAAGAATCAGTTCTATCTGAGTGGTGTTGCAGTCAGCTCCTCCTCGGCCAGCATTGACTAAAACATCCCGCAGCTTCGTTAGCCTTAGCGTGATAGCTCCGATGACATTTTAATGTATTCCCGTTTCCATACGCCCACTAAAATAGATTGCCTGTCTGATACGCCGAGCGGCATATGAGTGACAGCACATGGAGTGCCTGGCGCTCTTCACGCGGCCCAGCATCGAGGACTGAAGAGGATGCGCTTCAAGTACCCGCTTGAGTGAATCCCAGATTATTATGACAGGATCTCTCAACTAAGCAACGATCGGAGCGGCAAGGCGAGAGCTGCTCCGGGAGTTCTTCAACGGAATTTGGAACGAATAAGTACTTTCCGGGCACCGAATAACGAATTATTCTTACCTCCCGACTCTCGGACGAAAACTCCGGATCGTCGTCGTCATGAGCGCGTGCGACTTCAGCGACGAGCGAATTTACATATCTCGCAATCGGCTCGAGGCTCGGTCCAGGAACTCGCGCCGAACCTCCTGGAGAGCGAAGATGAAGAGCCTCTCGAGCTGGCCAAGAGCTCAAGGGGCGAACAAGGAAGAGGGAGCCTCATTTGCGGGTTGATCGATATCGGCCAAGGAACATTTTTCATTCGTCGGCATCGCGCGGTGAGCGTTTCCTTCCGGGGAATGGCATGTGCCTGGAATTGTTTCGAATTCCCACCGGAAAAGGGCATGAATCAATCGTCATGAGTCGGGTACGTTCGAATCGACCGGATCGATGAACGCTCGATTAGCCTCGAGCCGACGATTGCGCTCGAGAACACATACTTGGAATTCAATGATATTCTCGCGATAGTCCAAACGAAAATCGATCGGTCCGGCTTGGACGGACGTCAATCGCATCGGAGGGCCATCGCGTATCCATTGCGGAGCGGGTAGTCCGCGGGGGACGAGCATTCTCGAAAGGTTATCCTTCCCGCATTCCTTATCGTCGTCCATCTCAATAATGAGACAGCGAATCCGCCCTCACCGAGTGCGTGACGTAGAGAGTACATCACGCGTGCTCAGGGATAAGAAGTTCTGGTCTTGGTGAAGATTTGACGTGTTGCTAAGTGAGCAACACATCACCTCGCGAGGGAGTTATGCGCTCTCTCGCACTTGGGAAAGCGGCTTTGCGAACTGCCTTAGAGGCTCTCCGAGTGAGGGGCTGCATCGTTCTGTTCTTGCACTATCCGCGGGACCACGCCGAGGGCTACGTGCTCAGACTCCCGTTCGTTAGGGTAGTCTCCTCTCCGGACGGGTCTTTTACGTTCAACATGCGTCCAGCAACTTACATTGTTCGCCGCATGGCTCCAAATGTCCACAGCGAACTCCTAATTCGGTGATTGCTAATTGAAAAACTAACCGGATTACTTGTGTGTGTTCAGGAGAGCCTAAGGGAGGAGAGCTCGATGATGTTCCATGTTTTCGGGGTATCGTCTGGTATTGTCCCCGAACGTGGACCGAAGACTGAGCGAGGAAGCTCTCCCGTACCGATACGTATCTATGGGCGTGAGCTATAATGCTAAAGCTGATAACGAACGCTCTCAGCGGGAGCTTTGGGGGGAGGGGGTGGAAATCCTTTCAGGCGGTGAAATCCTCTCCTCTTCAGTGTCGACTCAACAAAGAATTCTCACGTGTCGGCATCGCTAGCGGAAGACTTTCGAACTTTTTATGCTCTTCGATGCTCTCTTATCACACCGCGGGTGAGCTCTATTATTCATTTCACTAACCGCACTCCCCGCGATTGCCACTAAATCAGAATCCTGGTCCCTAGTGACGCCCACTCGCGATGACTGGGAGAAAATCGAATCAAGTTGGGAGTGGTCTCATCTTAGTCAATTAGTGTCAGTCGAATCCTTTCTCGAGGACACCACTCCACTTCACTTGGAGAAGTTCCCACTGAGACCAGGAGATTTTCCACTCGAATACCGCGGGGCATCTTCCTGGCTGTAGGAGAAATGGGTGGGAACGAGATAATGAATCAAATCGCGACTCGCCTCTCGCCGTGATCTCGTATATCCTGCGCCGATGTTTTCTTCGAAATCTAAATCAACACTTCTCGAGCTGGATACACACTTCTTTTATTCTTTCCACCTAATCTGAAATTCTTGTCAGCGTTCTTGATGACGGTGACACTCAGCCGGTGGATTAGCGCAAACTCTGCCGCAAAAAGAACAATTGTTTATTGCCAGACGCACTCATCCTCTTACCCCCGGTCTTTCCATGCTGTCTCTCTTCGTGGCGTCGAATACGGAATGATGTTGCTCCAAGAGCTGAGAGCTTGTAGCTCGAGCTATTTTTACCCTTCCCTACGTTTGACGAAGTAACATTCCGAGGAAACTCATGAGGCCGCTGCTCCACCTGTCTCTCGGGCGGTCCGCAGCAACGTATCTCTCCAAGCACCCGATGGATCGACGGGTATCGATCGGTTGGAAGTCGTCGACGATCTCCGTGTCGAAATTCCTAGAAGTTCAAGTTTTAGGAGACTCGAGCTTTCGTAGTCAACTTGACGCGGAGGAAAATTCACGTCTTTTGTAGGAGTAGTAGTATCTTTTCCGCCAAGGTTGACAGACCCGCATCCCTCGCTCGAATCTCAGTTTTCGATGTCGCGCTTCGATTCACGGACCCTCGACGTCCTCTTTGCAGGGCATCTGAAGAATGAAACAATGTTGCTCCTCAAGCTCCGAATATCGGAACCCGGAAACCTTCAAAGATCCTCGGCGGGGCAACCTTTCGACCTTCTCCGGGTTCGATCTCGATCGATGAGCCGATGCCAAAACGTTTCAACGAGTATAAAGGATTTCCGAAACTCAGGCTCCTGCTCATTTTTGTGTCGGATTGTGATTGCTTCTCGTGACGATCGACGCGTTTTCTCTCGCAAAAGAGCGGAATACCCAATGAAGTCAACACATCGGCTCCGAGTCTCTGGAGAGAATTTCGAACATGTTCTTGATGAAATTGGATTATCTTGGCGAGGATCTCGGCCTGACTCTTTTTGATGCCGATCACAGCTTCGGAAAGAAGCGAGCCAGATGCCATTATCGATTTAAGATCTTCGACCCGTCAATTCCGCCTCGTCGTGCCGTGAGCACCTGATGTCGCTTTGGAGTCCGGGTCGTGGAATCCTAGTGTAGAACTCATCCTACGTATATTCTCAAGTCGCCTCTCGCGAGCTTCCCCAGGCAGGATAAGCGGCGAAGATATTGCATGTGCTGCGGCTCTGATTCGGTAATCTGATTAAGTGGATCCACACAGCGAATTCCATAATCCTTCGAAAGGAGATATTCAGAAATCAGCAAAGAGAACAAACCTGGAATATCACGCTCGCGGGGGGGGGGGTCGTTTTATTCATAGGCGCGTGATGGCTTTCCGGAAGGCTATCTATGAAGCTATTTCCGAGGATTGCCGAGATTCCTCATCCGATGCGACCTCACAACACCTCAAAAATGCAATCCAGCGCTTCCCACACAATATTCCTAAAATGCTTTCCTACCAGTAGGAAATTGCGACCGACAATCACGCTTCCGAATATATATGCTGGCCCTTCGGGCTGTTCCTTCTGCACCTCACTTCCGCGCACAGGGAGGAATCACTCATTCTCAGCTGCGTGTCTGGGCATACCCTCAGCGGATCTCGAGGAGATGAGAGGGATAGAAACATACTGCGGTCCGTCAGCAATCCTCCCCGAACAAACGCGAATATTCAGCGTCGGAGGCATTTTCTCGTGGAATCAATCTCAAATACATCTGTCGCGGCGAGGTCGCGCGATCGTTCTCGCGGGAGCTCCACTAAAGGATAATCTCTCGGTTGGCCGAATAGAAACTCCAGACGTGCAACACGATGGCCTCGGCGGGTAGTCATGAAACGGGCTTGCTCGACAACACTTGCTCCGTATCCACAACGCGCGTCGGCTTCGCATCATTGGTCTCCATCCATAGGAACACTCACAAAAATGGAGACCGGATACGAAAATCATCGACCAGTATAGTCCAAATATAATGGTCTTGATCATGGGATCTACTTAGTTAGAGAATGGCTCTATGAAAATCGTACGAGTATCATTTCCACTGAATTATTCTCCCTTGCGATCCCGATCAGCCCGATCGAAGGGGGGTTTCGCTCAGAAAGCTTCCAGCCCTCCAGATTCTGCTGCATTCGCGTAGGTGTACGGTGACTGATATGAGCTTCGCATCGATGAGGGAGGAAATATTTCCCCAAGCGGAAGCTCTCATCCGCCTCTCGAGACTATGTTGCCAGACAAGACCCTCAGAATCTGAAGTCGACGGGATGCCGCTCTAGAAACATTGGAGAGAAACAAAATTCCCTCATCTTGCCGGAAGCTCGAACATTTTGTTTTGTTCTTGAAATCATTTTTGATAGAGGCTTCTAGAGAAAACCCGATGGTTGTAGTTCCGAGGAGTTCGACGCATTCGAGAGTCGCGGACATCCGTCAGAATCAGACGGATTTATTCTATCAACATCCAAGGAAGAACAGAGCGACATTCCATAGCGGGTGAACGAACTTCTGATCAACGACAGATTCGGTGAATTCTATCAAAAGAGTCGACCACGATGAGGAGGATTGAATCACGGTCGCCCGGAGATGCGTCTGCGAGGGGAGATCGCGATATCCCATTCCAAAGTCGGATTACAAGCAGCAACAAAGTTGATATGGGGATCAGCTCGCAAGGCTCGCTACCGAGGATTTGTGAGCAAAGGAACCTCAAGGACTGACAGAATGTTTGCTCAACGTCGATGTCTTTCTTCCTTTTCAGTTTACGGGGTGGATCGGATGATTCAATCGACAAAGCAAGCTCGTCATTGTGTCAACAGAAGTTGCGGCATGTGTCCCGAGGGAACATACACAGGAGGTAAGTGTCAATACCGTGGTCTGGGTCAGTTGCCCAATGATCATAAACATCTGAGAATATTGAATCACGTAGATGTCCGTTTGCGATTTCCTGCCTCGCCTCCTTTATGGGTTGCATTGTGTTCTACGGCTTCACCGCACCTCCGCGTTCCTCCAACTTCTCCTCTGTCCACACAATTCGTGTCAATAAGAGAATTGGACCAATCGAATCAAGCTTTCGAGTCCGGCCTCACGGATGACCGAACAAGATTTGAACAATGCGTTTTGTGCGTCAGCGGGAACTGAGATTTCGCTGCGACTAGCAAAGGCAAACTCCTGTGTGCACATACGGGCAAACCTAGAGTAGACGGAATTTGCTGACTATCCCTTGCGAAAATGCCGGAGAAAAATTCATCCCCGTTTTCGGAACTGCGTAGCGAATAGACGGCGAAGTTCAAACGGCTCCCGAACGGCGACTGAGTAGATGCTTCGTTTTCTGCGCTCAGGATTTTCCATAAGGAGAATCCAGGCGGAGCGTCTTCTTCATTCTGATGTTTCGAGATTGTTAACCAAGCACTGCTCCGGTCATTTATTAAGAGCGGTTGAATGAGAGCCGCTGCTCGGACCGCTGGAAACCCCTGGAGACCTTTTCAGTATCTGTCATGCTCGAAGGTACGTGGCCTCCTGTCTTGGTGCGCTAAGCTCTTGTCTTGCTCTCGAGCTTGCAGCTGCAGCCGGGAGCCTGATGAGGTTCAAGGAATCCTGTGACACATCACAGGGGGAAACGGCTGGACGAGTCGATTGAGATGCCCATCAAGTCCACCCAGGCCAGAGTCAGTTCTAGGTCGGAGCATCTCGCGTATTCTTTAGCATGGCGACATCCTGGAAATCTCTCAGCTGAGGGCGTTCGAGGAAGCGGAATTTCCATCGTTGCAGAGTGATGATCTCAATTCCTCGACGTCGGTCGGTTCCATCTCTCCTCAAATGCTCTCTGGAAGATCTCTATCCCGGCCATGGACTCGGCAGAAATTCGGAGAACCTGGCCCGCACAACCGAGGAAAGACGGCGTTTTTCCCGGCTGTGGGCGGTGTGCCTCCTTTGTCGATTCTTAGGAACCCGCGCGACAGCCAAGAGTCGATAGGATTTCAATGCTACCCTGCCGTCCACAACGTCCACGGCAGAAACCCAAGTGCCCTCCACCATGGAGATCCCATGTCAGTGCCCGCGATATTCGAGGATGTACCTGATGAGTTGAGAGATTGAGAGGATCAAAGTAGAATGCGGAGCATGGGACACCACTGACAACGGGCGGTCGTTCCCTCAGAAGGGAGCGTGGATAGTGCCGTAGAGCCAGACCGAATTTACTTCCTACATTTGATGAAACATCTGGGCGGAGTTCGCAGAGAAATAACTCATTCTGACAATATCAACACATGAATTTCTGCATGTCAGACAGCGTCCTCACGGTCTCGCCCAGTTGCATGGGGTAGTCCCGGGTCGTGGTAGTTCGTCGGCGAGCGTCAACTTTCGAAGGCTGTGTGAAGTTTTTCGATGTCCCTGAGGGCTTGCATTCTGTCCAATTAGGATCCTCTCTGTTCGTCCTCTAGCAGAACTTCCTGTCAGTAGGTCAGGGCTCTTGACCTCCCTTTCTGTTCTTGCTCTATAACATACATTCGACTCCTCTTGCGGAACAAAAACGAGTTTCTCGGGCTGTACTGAGCATTTTTCCCTTATACCGAGAGGGTCTCGACGAATACTTCCGATAACCGGGTCCGCAATGGGAACGCGCTCGGCAGACTCACGAGGTCGAATCGAGATGAGTCTTCGAGAACAGTTCTCGAGAGGTGCGAGCCCGAGTAATTGTATTAAATGCTCCGGCTCGCATTCTGCTATGCGCCGGGTCGGAGTGTTGATGTCGCAATAGTTAGAGAAGCTGTTCGAGCGAACGATATGCTGACTCCGTCCTCGACTAGAATAAACGACGGCTATTTCGAGAGGTGATCGATGAATAAGCCTCCGGGTCTCGGGCCCAGGTCCCGAATGAGGGGAGACGCGGGCAGGTCAAAACAATAATGTTTATTGATCTCTATCAGAGGCGGAGCGCTCGAGAACGGACGAGCTCTGTGCGAGGAATTGATGCGGATCATACTCAGATGTCTGTCATAAATCAGAGCTCGCGACGGAGAGATGTTTGCCTTGCGTTCATGATGCTTGGTTGCTGCTCTTTTCGTAGCGATCGCCATTATAAACCTCCACGATTCGTTCCGGACTTCCGAAGCAGCAGGGACCGAGGATTAGATCAGTTTGGGATGAATTAGTGGGAAACAGCCGTGAATCCTCGGCAGAAAGTGACCGTCGGAGCGATTAGCCCCATGTGCAGCGAGTGCGGAATTTTGGAGAAAAGCATCCGGAGCCGATTCTAGCAGGCACATATAGTGAGCGTTGGTTCGCAGAAACTCCGACCTGCCCCGAACTAAGTGGCCCCCCAGAAACGAGGATGGAATGAGGGTACCTAATTTAGATAGAACGGGAGCTTTGTCGAGTTTCAGCCGGAAATCAGTGGACCTGGAGTGCTTCGAGCTTCGTCTTCGGAGCGTCGACAAGCAGTGGCAGAGTGAATCCGGTACTCCTCGAAGATGTTTGAAGTGTGAAATGTGTTAAGTGTGATCCTAAGTGAAAATCGAGAGGGATTTCAAGGGTTCGCAACTATCTGGAACCTACGGATAGGTTCAGTTCTTTTCGACGGCGCATCTGTCAATCGATCCGTCAACTTTTCCGAGAGTCACATCAGGTTCCGGAATCAGTGAACGGAAAATCTATACGATCACAAAGTGACAGGTTTTCGATTACTATCCCAGCCCCGGGGCTCAGCGAGAATTGGGTTGCATTAACAATTCTTGATAGATAACCAGCGAAACCCCAGGAGCGATTCATCCGGTGCCATATAGGAGTTTCATCTGATCGAGTCGAAATTCGATTACATTCCACCTGGAATGTGTCATCAGGGAGAAGATCCCTCTGGTTGGCAACCGTGTCCCATCCGGAAGCCTACGGTGCCTGCGCGGGAGTTTGCTGCCGCGAGCGTGAAACATGCTGGAAAACGTCTCGGGGTTTGATCATCATCATGTGCCAGATCAGATGTTGGCGCCGAGGGCGCGTTCCCTCACTCTCCACCGAGGATGAGCGAGCAGAACTGATTGCAGCCATCTGGAATGCGGAGTTCGCAAAAAATCCATCCATGGTCGGGAGCTCCCCGAAATCGGAACGAGAACCTCGGGATGAGCTCGTTTCGACCGATCGTAATGAAAATGACTCCTGGGAAAGCGAGTCAGTGCTTAATCACCTTCCGCATAGAAGCCTAGCTTGAGAGAACGCTCGAAGGATTGCCTCGCCGTCGCTCCTAGCGAATGCGGTCCTGATAGAGTCCGAGTTTTCAATTCCCAAATGCTCCTGCCCCAGTCTGCAGAACCCTAAAAGCCAGGGATTTGTTTCCTCGCGCCTGAGAGCCGGTTTCGGAGCCACTTCATAGAATGAGTTTCCGAGCGAGATTGGACTGGAGCGCGCGGTCGACAAATCACGCAATCAGGGTTTGGGCCCGCCTTTCGTTCCAAGCCGGGGCTCGCGACCATTAAAGTCTCCCGAGGTCTGGACAGGATCAGGGAGATTCCCAGCGATCACGATAACCATACGGGGAAGGCCAACGGCTTTGTTGAGCAAGATTCCCTATCGGATTTATCGGAGATTAACGAATTGATGTAGGCAATGAATATTCTTAACTTCCATCAATTGTTTACCGTCATAAAAATTATCCCTATTATTATGATTGCGTCACGTCACGCTGCCGTCAGTTCCCCTCGAGGGAGCCGTCAATGACGATGATAGACGAGGTGAGAGCGAGAACTGCGTCCATTTGCAGCCAGTCGCCGTGATCGGCGCTGGCACCGAGATGAATCGCGTGATTTGAGGGCAGAGATGTGACACACGTCCCCGGCGTCGTTGATCCATCGAGTAACCAGGAGCTTATTGACCCAGCTCTGGCGAGTTTATCTCGACGAATGGGCACGACGTTTAGGCCTTTGGGCCTTCGGATGCAGAAACTCGACTGTAGACCTCGCGAGCAGAAAATAATACCGAGCTGCGATTGTCTGGACGTAGGGGACGGGGGAACGCGCATTGGGAAAGGATCGAACATCTAAAAGCTAATCCCTGGGACTTCGAATGAGAATCGGTAATGCTCATCGCTCTTTTTCCGTTTCCAGATGAATGCTCCTGCTGCATGAACAACGGCTACTGCCCGGATCCGATACTATCGTTTTGTAAAAAGTGCAAACCGGGGACTTTTTCATCTAAGCAAGGCCAAAAAGTATGCGAGTCGTGCCGGGAAGGTTCCTTCGTCAAAGAGTCGGGCGCTACCAAATGCAACAAATGTCCGCTGGGGACATTCTGCAAGTATGTACACTCTCAGGTTGTGAGTAGGTGCGTTCTAGTGAGATTCCGACGGGGTAAACACCGATGAGAGCCGTCTTCGAGTGTCTGCTCTCCCCTTCGCTCAGCTCTGTCTACACAGAGCGAGAGAAGGCATACGGTGGCTCCCCGTTCCCGCACACAAGTTTGAATGCTCCCTTTGATGATTCCCAGACAGCCTTCGCTCTCCTCTCTCGGCGTCCCCCTTCCATTCTATCACGCAATTATTACGATGTGTCCGTGTACATATTTCTCTGCGCGTCATCTGGCGCTCATAAAGCTCGCCCCATTCCGAGTAGCAAATATCGGGCTGAATTACGAGACATAGTTACAGCATTAGACCTTCTAGTGTCCACGAAAACTCAATATTCACGACCAAGGTCGTCTTACCTTAGAGGATTCGCTCGGTCGCTGTGTAGAAATCAGAAAATGGACGAAGCGTGGAGTACAATTCGTGAAATGCTGATCGCATCGAGCTATTGTATCCGCGAACTCAAATCGTTGCAGATCGCCTGCCGAAGTAATCCGACCCGTGCGGCGAGCCCCGTGCCGCGGAATCTCATGAACCCGTAGAGAAATCGCCTAACGACGATTCGTCGACCTAACGACCTCGTCGCATTGCAGTAAAAGTGGATGCACGGAGTGCACGTCGTGTCCACCTGGAACTGAAGCTCCCGCTGTGGGGAAATCCGAGTGTTCGCGGTGTCCTCCAGGAACAATGAAACCCCACGGGGGTCCGGGGAGCTGCATTCGATGTCGGAAAGGAGCCTACAACATCATCTTCGGCTCGACGGAATGCATTGATTGTCCAGCGGGCTTCTTCTGCGAGGTTAGTTTCCGAATATGTAGCCTTTTCTGACCCCACTTCGAATGAGTTGACCGCCGCCACGACCGGGTATCGATCCCTCGAGAGGCCGTGCCATTGCTCAATTCACCAGGATCCCTGTACGATCATTTGGCGCTTCGCGAATTACTGTCATCGGACATGTGAGGAAGTCGTGGGAAGCGTTTTTCTGCGGACATCCGCTATATTCCGGAATTTTTAGACGATTCCCGGAGAGAGAGAATCAGTGGAGGCCGCGAATTCCTCGAATCATACATCGATCGCCGCGAGAAGTTTACACTCCCTGCCTCGTATTCATTGCTCAGGAAACCCGCGGAATCACTCAGAGAGTTGTCTATTTTCCCAGTGCCGCAAGAGACTCTCAGTCGTCACAGGGATCCAATGGCATGGAGAATCCTCGAATTCGTTTTCTCGGGAACAACAGAAAGCGAAAACCCAATGCGTGTCGTCTGAGCTTACTTGTAAGCCGCATCGGCAGCGTATCTTCTTACGGAAGAGACGACGCACATTCGACTGACCTTCTGAACCGGACTGAAGACTTTACACATTGGGAACTCCCGCCACGTGAGGGTGGATGCCAGCCTCAAATCATGATTTCCCAAGATCCCGTGGATCATCGTCATCGCGTGCTTGAACATGGGACCTCCGGAAACTGGACCGCCGGCGCCGATCAAAACCCTACTGCCCTCTGTTATCCGATGCGCGCTCTTGCCACCAATCCGATGCACCGCTCTCCCTGAATTACTCTAGATTGATCCAAATTCGATTGTTATCGCCCAGGCATCTCAGAATGGGGCGAATCTATGATTTGAATGAGAGCTGACTCACCGGGATGCTTTTTTTTCGCGCATTCGCTGCTTGCATTCCCCAGTCAGTCGGACTTCCCTCGCCGAACTCGAGGAACTTTCATTGGCGTGAATGGTTAGGCGCTCGTCCTGAGGTGGTAAGGCAGAACCCCAGCGCAAGTTGTAGAAGAGGCTTCGCGAGAAAGGAATGAGAACAGTCACAGCCAGTCGTGCGGGTATATGTACATACAAATGATTTGAGCATGAAACCGCCTTCTCAGACAATGATGGCGCCGGCTACTTCACTTTTATGCCGCCCATATTATGTACATATAGTGTTCAACCTGCATCGAATTCGAAGCCGATCTCGGAAGCCTCAGAAAGAGTTCCGGCTGCGTGAGTCGACCCGACAAATATGTGCCGGAGCAACCTCCCACCCGTGACCTTTCTCACGTAGTGCGCGGCGCGACGCAAAGTGTCGAGCCTGAATGGAATTCTCCGTGCGGACCCGGCCAGCTACTTGCCGAGCTTGAGACTGCGGAAAAAGGCAAATGCGCGGGAGAGAGCCAAATCGTGAGAGGTTTCGATTGTGCCGTTTTATCTGGATCCAAACTTTAAGGACTCTGTTCCGGAACTCAAATTTCGACGGCCGGATCGCTTCGACGCATTGTTGACTCGAGGAGAGATTTGAATTGGGATCCTCCCATTTCGTTCGGAGCCATTCTTGCCTCACTGGACCCATGAAATTTCGAATGGTCAACAATCGGCCCGCTTCTCGGATGTCGCAAAAACCTCATCTCACGATCAATCGCGGAAGTTCCCGCTCTGAATCGAACAATCCGATGACCTCTCTCGATACGAATGAGAGCGCCTTGTCCGGTGATGAGTTCCGCGTAATACCGTACTTCGAATACTTTCCGAATGTGAACTCATCCGAATACCGCTGAGCTCTTCGGCAGAATGTCCGAGTCGTGTCAAGTTTCAATGACACGTGGCCGGAGCTGAGACTCACCTGCGTCGAATATTCGATCGCGTGAAGTCGAATAAGTTATCTAGGCGCGCTATTGACGACAATGATTCCCCTCGTTTCCAGCATCAGTGGCAAGCTCCGATAGAATGTCCCAAGGATTCGATTTGCCCCGCGGGTTCCGAGACACCGATCGAATGTAAACCCCCGCTGTTCAAGAAACATGGATATCAGTGCTACCTCGCGGATCCCATGATTGCACTCATTGTATCGTCGATCATCCGTAAGTAGATTCCGCGATCTGTTTATCTTTAACTGTCTAGATCTTTCAGCTAAGGCTAGGCTTGCGGACATGCTGGCCAGCCTCGTGCTCCAAGGACGTAGCCAGAGGTCAGAGAATCGCTCGGCTCATCCTCCTGTGTATTCGCTCAGTTTATAGTGTATCCTTTCGTCTGTTTACAGTGTCGACGCTTGGCGGCATGTTTGCCATCGCTCGTTATTACGTGCGACAGACCCGACGTTATTCGGTGAATCAAGAAACCGCGTCCTTGATGCAAGCCCATAACAACAGCCAGATGAATTCCACTCTATCCGGTTTCTGAAGTCGAGCCACCTCCGACCCTCGTTTAAGCGTGCAAACTCTGGATCTCGTACAAGCCATGGAAAGACCTCAGCATCAGAACGGTCACGCCAAGCGACGAGAGTCGGGGGTGGACAGTCGAAGACATTCGACTCAAAATCACGGGGACGAATTACAGACAGCGAAGAAAACCACAGTCAAATAACATCTCTTGAAACGACAGGGGAGAGGGCAATTCATCATCCGAGTCCTGGAAACGAGAACAATCACAACAATAATTATCTCGAAGCGGACTGTGAATAATGTAATAAGCTACTGCAGGGCGTCATGGTGTGTACAGCAGCAGCCCGGCACGGGACAGGAACCGCTAGCGCGTTGAGTTTTTGCCAAACTCGGAGTTCGGGTCGGCGTCTGCTCAAAAGGGAGAGTTGTCCTTTTCCTCAAATATCGAATTCTGCTTTGGACTCGTCGGGTTCCACTCAGAAGCCAGCCGCGGTCTGTACTCAGCTCGCTGCAAGCTCTTCCTGAGCGAGATCTTCTGTAGTTTTCGATCAAGGATCATGGAATTCTTTTCTTGAGCAAGCGATTCGCCCGCTCAGAAGTTTCTCCCGATCCGGGTTGCTCCCGTCCAGATCGACTGAGCGCCGAAAGTGAGAGTTGCCTCGCCAAAAATCAAGACAATAGCTCTTAGTAGACTACACGTCTAAGGCCTCTTCTAGCAAGTTTCCGAGCGACAATCTATATCAGTGAAACCTTGTGCTCATCCTCACGTACTCGCCGCCGATCAACGGTAATGCGATTCTTCCTCTCTCTCTCTTTCTGACGCAATCTCTTCCTCTATCTCTCTCCATCGATCTAATATGAGTACACAAAAATCAGAGCACCGATCTATTTACCGACAATCCGATGAATCCGATATCTGAACGTTTGTTCAAGCGATGACCTCGATTATCGTTGTTGTTGTCTCCAAATGTGATTATTCCTTCGGGAATATCGAACAAGTGAAATCTTAGCCCAGGATCGCTTCACAGATGAGCCTTACGTAAGAATCATTGCTGAAAGAATGTCTCATTCAGCAAAGTGATCGCTCTGCTGACATCATCATCCGATATATGAATGCAGACAAGCTGCAATTCGATCATTCATCGATTCATGAGTATATGCTGTCACGAAAATACAAACATCGATGCGTATGCTACAGCGGTGTCGACGTAAGTCACATGGTCTCGGCAATTACCAGGAATCATAATTCACAGGCAGTCGGAACCGAAGCCGGGGACAGAACTCCTCGAGAATTGTGTCTAGAAAGTTGAAATCTTCCAAAACGGAATCAGGTACTTCCACGAAGCCTTCTGGGTTCGGTTTCTATTTTGGAGGCATTTCCTCCAATCCCTGCCGATCACAATTATCATATACAATAATGATTCCTGTTCTGCTCTGACTTGCTCGGGTCAACCGTTCCAAATGCTCAGATTTCGAGCTCCAGCGTTCTCGCTCCGGGGATTCCCTTACTTGTGAGAAGCATACCCGGTTATGCAAAACTGACATTATTCAATTCATCCCGCCGCTTCCTCGATACCGGCGATGTTTCGCATGAGCTTGACTTCCTTTCTCTATTTTTCTCGTAGAATGATACCCATAGCGGAAGCTGATGATCTTTACTCCGGTTTGCAGAGTTGATATGCTCACCCAAGGGGCTTAGATACCGTTCGGATATCGAATTGTGTTCACAGACTGTAATGTTGTAAGTATGTACATTCCGGCTTATGTTAAATCAACGACTGTAATTGATGATGACGCTAGTGGTCATCGTCGCGACAGCATGGACGTCGGAGACTTCCGAGCTTGTACGGTGATGTAAAATATAAATAAATTGAGAGCCGAAATAAAGTGATAATCAACGAGACTTGTCAAGGACTTTCTCTTTCTCATGTTGGATGGTAAGCCCTGATGCAGATCGCTCATCGGTGGGGCCCGGAACGCAGTCCAAAGGTTCCTCGGGAGTACCACGAGACACCGCACATCGGAAGCGCATGCATTCCTCTCATTGTCGATTCCTTGCAACTCCACAGTGAGGTTCTCCGATGCAATCGAATGACGCCTCCGTCCATGTTTTGATAGCACCCCTTGGAATATGATGGTACGAGCTTCCGCCCACTGCGTGCGGAATCATTGCTCATTTTCCCGACGCGGAAGACCGTTACAGTCGTTTGAGGTAGCTACCGTCAAGACTCAACCCTCAAAGAAAGACTTGTCCCCCGATAGGAAATAACTAGCGCTTGCTCCAACATCTAACCCCCGTAGGCCGCCGAGGGGCTTGTACGTCAATGGAGGACTTGGCGTAGCGACGTCAGAATTTTCCGCGCAGCATTCCATCAGGATCTCACAATCAGTCGGGGTCATGGCTCCGTGGCTCAGTAGCTACCGAGCAGCCGTTCGGACCTTCGAGGCTAAATCCTGTCGTCTCTGCGAGCCAGTAGGTCCCGTAATCCGATGCGGGTGGCAGGGCAAGCAACTAGAAGGCTCCCCGTGCGTTGTTCCATCCTGTAATCCAGTCGTGGAACCCTTGCTCCTCTGCAGGCCGCGATACCGCGTTGTCACGCGTAAATATTTATAAGATCTGTTCACTCCGGATGGCTCGACTGGGGAAATGGTCCTCTCGGGGAACGACGCAATGGCATTCGTGAGACTCGCAGCAGCTAATTGCTCCTTGACACGTTACGGTGAGGATTAGAGTTCTAATGCAGCGGAGGTCGCTTTCGAATCATCGGTTCTCTCTGACCCGTTTCTCGAAGCGAAGGGCATCCAATCCTCCGCGCCGTATCATTTCCGCTCTTTTCCCCAACTTCATTTCCTCGTAACCTCTCGCAAGTTCACTTGATCTCTAGACTCCGATTCGCTTCGGGCTTTCACATGTGGTGAGCTCTCCTCGCTCGTTCTGTGGTAGACAAAGGGAAGTCTGGATTTCGGTCCTACAACATCCTTCTTATTCTAGCTCCTAGCACAACCAGATCTTTCAGGTGTGACGTCGATCGTCGGTCGCTAGGCCTATAACTCACTGTGCTGTAATAAATATTTATGACCAGCCGTCGGATCTGCTATGATTTGAAAATCAACTTGGACGCCTGCCCTGCATGAAGAGGTACCGAGGTCCGGGAATGTACCTGTGGAAGTGCAACGTTCGCCAGAAGTAATTTCAGCGCTGATCGACCGTGGGTCGAGTAATTCGTCGACGAATTCCCCAGCTCTGACATGAGCAGACAAAGGCCACGGCCTGATATTTTTCTCGCATACGGACGATCAACACATACGAAATCATTGAACATTAGGTCTCCTGAAGAGTTATCGCGTGCCTAATTCCGCAGATCCCATCAAACTCGGAGTAGATCTAAGTGCGTCATTAATTATCTTCGGCACGGCCGCATGAAGAACATGTCTATCGGCTGCGGCTGTGTGGCGGAAAATAATTCGTTTGCTGCGCCAAACGACTGAGCAATCGTTCGATAATGCTCTCATTTATCACCTCCGTCAGACAGTTCTCGTAGAACCGAATGGTTCGTTTGAATTGTCGAGGTTCCGCAGCACGAGACTCGAAGCTGCACGGCTACCCGTCATCGAACACGGATCAACTGACTGGTGCGCGGTAATGGAATCGATCGATCTCAGGATCGATCACCTCATACCGAATTGAAGCGCGATAAAGTTACGGAGGTTGCGAACACCGCGCCGATCGCTTCAGGGAGAAGACACTACCGGACTCGATCGAATCCAATTCGAATTTTCTCTGAGAAGAAGAAGACGTCTGGGAGAGCGGAGGCGGGAAGCAATGACAGGCAACGAATAGTGAATTTCCTATTTTCGTCGACGATTTTCTCATTCGCGAGCCTCAGTTAGGCGACCAATTGGTGCCTCGAAGACAGAATCATTTCTTGGAGCCAAATCTGACAGACTCCATTAAAGTTGCTCCGTCGGAGCACTTCGTCTGCAACAATGTAACAATTTCTGATGGTCCTCATTCGGCCCGGACTTCACGCTCGAAGTTGGTCAAAACACAACTCCGGAGGTAGGAACACGAGGAAACGAGGCTAAGTTCATTACGTGCTGTTTGTTTCATTTTCTCTGAGGGGGGAGCTGTTCGTGGGATCTCCATGTTAAATCAGAACTCACTGCTCGTTCATTGGCCTCCGACTGCCTCGGCGTCGCTAAGAGGCTCGATGTCCGTTCGGACCACTCAATCAATTTAATCGGGGGAGAGGTTGCATTGCTCCAGATCCTATCGGATCCCCTGCTTTCTCTGCTGATTACCCTAAAGAGATTATTCGTGTCTTATTCCAACCATTCTCCCTCTCCGCTTCTTCACTCAACATCGCAAAGACAGCAGCTGTGACGTAAAACGCTCCCCACACTTTGTTGAGGCTACGTTCTAGTAGAACGGATCATCTGCCGATTCGCGGATTGGGTGCGGTTGCAATGCTGTCGCGGAGGCCGATCGCTTAGATCAGACTGTTGAATTCACGAAAACCCCACATCCTCAGTTTCTATGATTGCTTACGGAGATGGTGCATAAAAACAGTTCCTCCGCCACGACCGTGGAGTCTATTACATGGCCTCATGCGTCTTACGAACTCTTATCTTTCCCGATCGATCCTCCGGAGCCTCAGAGCATTCTTGCTGGATCTCGGGTCCGGCGAATCGCAAGCGGCCTTGTCGTCGTGTGGGATATTTCGGAAATACTCCTGCATAGTTCCCCAAACTCCGGCTCGATGGTACTCGGACGACATGCGATTGTTCAACTCCGAAAATTCGTTAATTTCGGTCCTCCGCTATCAAGCCCACAGCGAACATCTGTTCTGTTTCCCGGCTTCTGTCACTTTTGGAAATTTTTCATTCGAGTGTACGTCTCGATGGTTTTTCCAATAAGCTGATATCGAGCACCAGACTCGCCTGCTGGGGAAATGTATAAGCTATCAGAAGCAACTCTCTTTTTTGTGGGCTCTTCTCAAACGAGCCGTAGAAGCTCTTCATACATGTTTTATTTGGATTCGGATATTCGCAATCGCCATGAAATCAAGAAGAACCATTTTCGATGCGCCTTTTCCTTCTTATTTCCGCGGGGCTACATCGGAACGGCGGAGCTCTCCTTGTACGAGGCCCTACCCGGTGGCCTGTTGATCAGATTTCCACCGGAACAGAACACGTTGCGAAACACAGCCGAGCAGGACGATCTCTGGGCTCAAATTCCAGTCTCGTAACGATATAGCCTCAGACGTTTGGAATGGATCCATTCAATAAATAAGTCTGTAGGACCACCAACGAGCCAGGACTTTCCGCTCCGATCGTCCCGATCGACACTAAGAATATGATTTGGATGCCGCAGCCGGGAACAGGATTGGAGCAGGAATCGCGGTCCCCAGGAGGTTTCAGGACTCCGGCACAGTTTGCTGAGGTCGAGTCGCAGGAGCCAGAGAGAAGTCGAACGCCCTCATTCCGCCACTTCTCTCCAAGCTTCCGCTCCCGCCCCCTATACAGCGACAATGGAGTCATCGATTTTCGGAACAATGACGAGAGAAGACTTGGTAGAGTTTCAGACTCGAAAGCGCTTCGGCTGACAATGAGTCGTGATGATTATGATGAGTTGTGATTTGTGCCGCAGAAGTCCTTCGTGATCGAAAATGAATTCGGATCAGAGCATATCATCAAAGCCCAGTGTTCCTGTTCTGGGACTCCATGGGGATCGCTAATGGGTAGAGTTGCGATATGAGAGGACATTTCTTTCCCGAATAAAGGACAATGTCCGCGCGGACATCGGGACGGAAAGCGGACTCCAAAAGCGGACACTCTATTCCATGTTTTTTGCCCTTTCCATGGAATTGATTCGACTCTACAACCATTTTCCAAATAAGCAACAATCGACTGAACTTCGATGCCCTAACGATCGCTCAGAGACAATTTGCTGAGAGAGAAGAAAATTTCCGACCCAGCCCCCGGCGCCTCTATCTCACGCTTAAGCAGCCGAGACCTCGGTGCCCTCGGCGAAAAAATAGCGCAGAAATTCAAATTTATTCATCGTATATTTAGCAGTACTTCCTCGAAAATTCCGGAAAGCGGACATTCCCGAGAAAACACCCAAAAAGCGGTCAAAGCGGACGAAAAAGGATGTGTCCTCTCATATCGCAACTCTACTAATGGGGTTAAAGGGAATGATCATTGCCGATTGGCCGGACATTCACGTCGACAATGGGCTTTCAGCAGATACCGCGAATTGATGTCTGTGTTCCGCTTCTGCAGCTGCGAAAGGGTCTCGGAACGCAGTGGCTGGAGCATGGGCTCTGCTAGCGTGACTTGGTACGAGTATAAGTAAAGCTTATGATCTTTCCGGGACACCGGACGTACCGTCCCTCGCGAGCATCTCCAGGCTCTCATGAGGAGTTGCTCTAGGAATCGCATCAACAGATCATCAATTAGAAGTATCTTGAGATCCTGGATTGGATACATGGGGTCGGGATCCTGGGTTCAGACTCGCCTACTTTAGGTTCATTCACTGGATGAGAGTGAGAGAGAGCAGAGGAATGGTCCACATCGGATCCCTAGTTATTGTCGGAGTTCCCGCCGCGTTCATCGGGCGAGCAACGAGGAATCGTGCCTCGCTTCTTTCAGGAGAGATCCTCTACGACTCTCGACGGGGAAGAGGCCTCGGATCTCCGGCTGTGCTGCTCAGATGTCGGAATGCGGCTGATCGAGATCAATGACCGAATACTGCCTTAGCCTTCAAGCGTTGTATCTTCCTCGTCTTCCCTCGCTCACAGAGTCCCTCCAATAACCTTGTCGATAGAGCTTCCGAGGTTTGCGACTTTTTGTACTACATCTTCTCTTAGAGCTGCTCTCACGACCTTCGGGTCGGGATGTGGGTTTATAAAATCTCCTCGAAATAAGATCAGAGCTTCACCTTGGCGTGGTGGGAATCATGCTCCAAATAAGAACTGCTTGCTACATGCGAGTTTCCGATCGCCGAACGTCAGACTTCCTCGGGCTCTCGATTGCGGGATATTGAATGTTCGAAAGACGGGATCTTCATCATGCTTTACGCGGGTGCACGGCTCGAGACCTCGGAAATCATCGCGGGTTCTATCGAAAACTCTATGACGGAGCGTTGTCGCGGAAGGAAATATGCTCGTAGATGATTTCGGCCTTCGGTCAGGCACAGAATGCGGTGAGGGAGCGATGGAGAGTTTCCCGAGGAAATGGACTATGTGTCATCTGCTGGAACGAATTGTGGACACCAGGTTCCCTCCGGTAGCAGCTCGATGAGGACACAATGCGAGGCGTGGAGCGCTCGCTCTTGATCTGCCGTTACACCCGTCTAGTTGTGGGACCCGTCGGAATAACTGCATGCATGCTGAATAAATTACTCAGCCGCGCCATTATCTAGAATAAGTATGACTATTATTCACATCCGAACGCCGCATTGCGCTACGTGTTACGAATTTCTCTCTGTTTCCCATTCACTCGCAGGTGCTAAGCCATGCAGAAAGGCTCCAAGGTTGAATTTGACATTCATCCTGTCAAGCGGGCCAGACCCTTCATACTATATTTGCACTCTACACTAGAACTCCACCAATGATGCCGTACAGGACTTTCGTGGATCGCCCCGCGAGAAAATTTCCTTCGGATAGACTTCTGGCCGATTCTGGAAGGCTCCGGAACCTCAGTGTTAGGCCCTATTCAATGTTCTGGCATGTTCACGCGCGCTTAAGAGGTACCCTAGATACGAGCTATTGGAATGGCGTTTCTGGAAAAGCAATACATCGCGGTCTGCTTCAATAAAAGAGATCGAGTATGCTGATTCACTCCACAGCACTCGGACGTTTTCATTTCGCTCCGCTAAGACCTAACAATTGGCGACGAGGATTGTGAGAAAACCCCACAAAAACGCCTGATTCATCAAAACTACGATACACCCGTCACGTGCGAGAAGTTCATCCAGAAGATGTCTACGGAGTCGGCGAATTTTCGTGAGTTCGATCCATCCACTGAGCGATGGCCCGCCTGGGTCAGTCGATTAAATAACCACCTGATGCTGAATAAGAAGACTACGAATGAGGAGAAGAAGTACGCGGTGTTGGCGTACATGGGCGCCGACACATATACGAAGTTGTTCGACAGGATTTCACCGGAACAGGATCCGAACGACCTTACGTTCGACGAGATCGTTACGAAGGTGAAGGATTTCACCCAACCCGATGCCAATAAATGGGCAGCACGGATCGCGTTTCGGAAACTCGTCCAAACGTCCGGTGAGCCATTACTCGATTTTGAAAGCCGTCTTCGGAAAATGTCGATCGACTGCAATTGGCCCGATACAGAGAAACAGCTAAGCCTTATAGAGCAGTTTATCGCCGGGCTGACCGATCGACATACGAAACAAGCTTTAATGGTCAAATGCAAGGACAAAACGAAGTTCTCGGAAGTGTTCGCGTGCGCCGACGAAATACGAAAAGCCCAAAAGGCAACGTCATCCACTCAACCCACATCGAACCCTGACGTCGAAGTCAACGCACTCCGAATGCAACAGAAACGACGATTTCCGGCAAGGAATCAAGCACCTCGACAAACTGCTTCAAGTTCATTAAAATGCTACCGATGCGGCAACCCCAACCACTTAGCTCCGAAGTGCCCGCATATCAACTCACGATGCGACACCTGCGGAGTAGTGGGCCACTTAGCATCGGCGTGCAGGAAGAAAAGATTCCAGCAGAACTTCCTCGAAGAGTGTCCGGCGAACTTCATGACTACAGCTGTGGATCGAGACCCAATCATAATGCAAGTACGTATCCACGGAAAGCGAATTGATATGGAACTGGACACAGGCTGTGCTCTATCCACAATGCCGTACTACAAATTCGTCAAGAAGTTCCCGAATCATCAACTACAAGAAAACGACGTCCGGTTAAGATCTCCATCCGGGGAGATCATTACTCCAACAGCATTCGCATCAGTCGAAGTCGAGTTCAACGAGAACATTCAGAACCTGCGTATCTATCTCGTGAATCAACCAGATTTCCCAACCCTGTTCGGAAGAATATGGATGAAAGCGTTCCAGATCAAACCGATGATTCACGAGGCATGCAACTACAACGAAACTGAAAACATCGACAATCGGATTCAAGAGCTACTACAGAAATTCCCCAACCTTACGAAAGACGGAATCGGCAAAATACCGAGCACCGAAATGAAACTCCATTTTCAGCGCACCTAACCCGACACCAGTCTATCATCGACCGCGTCCGGTCGCTCACGCCTTGCTAGCGCTCGTCGACAAAGAACTCGAGCATCTCGAGAAGTCTGGCGTAATCAAGCGCGTTCAAGTAAGCGACTGGGCACATCCAATAGTGGTCGTTCCCCGTGCAGCTGGTAAGAAAGTTCGAATTTGCGCCGATTTCAAGGTTGGACTCAATCGATTCTTGAAATTAGAAGATCATCCTTTGAAATGCATCCGGCAAGCGCTGGATAATCTCGGAACGGGACGCAAATTCTCTAAACTTGACATATCGTCGGCATTTCTCCACATGCCAGTCAGAGAACAGGATCAAAAATTTCTAACGGTCAACACCCATCGAGGGTTATTCCAGTTTACGAGAATGTCGAATGGATTGTCCAGTGCCGCCGCCGTCCGGCAAAGATACATCGAAGCAATACTCGCAGGCATCCCCGGAGTCGAAGTCGTCATCGATGATATCGTAGTAACAGCACCAACAGACGGCGAGCACCTTCAACGATTAGAAGAAGTCCTAAGGAAGCTCGATTCACAAGACATACGGCTCAACAAAGAGAAGTGCGAATTTTTCAAGGAGCAAAACCGTTTCTGCGGGTTTACGCTCAAGCACGGCGAGATTCACAAATGTGCTGAGAAAGTAAATGCCATTAGAAACGCTCCCGCACCATCTTCGATTACCGAATTGAAAGGATTCCTGGGAATGATTCAATTCTACGCACCGTTCGCAAAGCAATTAGCAGACATTGCGAATCCCCTATACGATGCGTTGAAAAGCGGTCGCGAAGCAAAATTCATCTGGACGCAGCGAATGAACGAGGCTTTCATCGCGCTCAAGGCAGAACTGAGTTCGCCACGAGTACTGGTAGCGTTCGATCCAGCACGACCACTCGTGCTCGCGACCGATGCGTCACCGTATGGAATCTCAGCGATTCTATCGCATCGATACGAAGACAAGACAGAGAGGCCGATCGCGTACTATTCGAGAACGCTGACGCCCACCGAGAGACGCTACACGCAATTAGAGAAGGAAGCACTCGGTATCAAAGCCGGAATGGATAAGTTCTTCTACTATCTATTCGGCAGGCGCTTCTTACTGTTAACTGACAGCAAACCCTTGGTTTCGATATTTTCCCCATCAAAATCGTTACCCCCCCTCAGTGCAACAAGAATGCAAAATTACAGCATGTTCCTTACCGCGTTTCAGTACGACATCGAATACAGAAACACAACGCTGCATGGGAATGCTGACGCATTATCAAGGCTTCCCACGAAGAGCGAAGAGTTGACGTCGCTCCAAGACCAAGCCGAAGAGTGGTTAATCAATTACATTGCAGATGAAACACCGTTGAATCTAAAGAGAATAGCAGCAGAGAGCAAGAAATCCAAGTTTATCGTCTCGCTGCTAGCAGCAATGAACTCGGACAGAATCGGCTCTAACAAGTTCGCTACCATCGACGTCTCCGAATTCACGGTTCGTGGAGACGTACTCTTCAGAGGACACCGTGTTGTGATCCCTGAATCGTGTCAAAACGAGGTGTTAAAGGAGTTACACGAAGGACATTTCGGAGCAAAAAAGATGAAAGAACTTGCAAGACGACACGTATGGTGGAAAACCATCGACAGAGATATCGACACGAAGGCCAGCATATGTGAAATATGCCAGATGCACGCGAAGAATCCTGCGAGGTCGTACCACAGCTGGGAACCGGCGGAACACCCATTCGATCGAATACATCTCGACTTTGCGGGGCCAGTAGAAGGTCAGTACCTGTTGTTACTCGTTGATGCCAACTCAAAATGGTTAGAGATATCTGCAGCAAAAACGAAAACAACGGCAGACACGCTCAAGATGCTCCGCGAGGTATTCGCCAGGTTTGGACTCCCAAAAGTGATAGTATCGGACAACGACCCAACGTTCACATCGCTGTCATTCGAGACCTTCTGTCAAGAAAACGGAATCGTTCACAAAACTTCCCCACCATTCCACCCAGCTTCGAATGGTCAGATAGAAAGATACGTTCAGACAACAAAGAAAGCACTCCAAAAGTTAAAGGCCGAGGGGAGCGGAGAAAATCTCCATAGCATGATCCAGCGATTTCTGTTCCGGCAAAGACTGGTCAGCAGCGCCGCGACAAATCGCAGTCCGGCAGAGCTCATGATCGGGCGCCAACTCAGATCCAAATTGGACGTGATCAGTGAAGTGCCCGAAATCCCGAGGATCAGAGTGACCCCACAGTACCCGAATGGCAAGTTCGCCGTGGGCGATGAAGTCATCGCAAGGAACTACAGCGGATCTGCAAAATGGGCAACAGGAACGGTGATCAGAATCCTCGGAAGGAATACCTGCGTTGTAAAGGTACAGCGCGGAGAATGGAAGAGACATTTCAATCAGCTAAGAAAAAGACAAATCGCATCGCCTCCAAAGGGAACACTACAAGAAGAGCAAGACGCCGAAGGAGACGAAATTCCGTGGTACATATCGTCAGATTGCGAGCAGAATGGTAACGAGTCGCTCGTCTCTGAGGATTCGTTTCTATCGGCAGACAACTCAGCATCGGAACTCGAGACGTCCAGTATGCAGCAGCCAGCCATAGTAGGCGCATCGCCGCAGATAGTTAGTAATAGCACGCCGAGTTCCGAGGTAGTAATCGATGAGATGAGTGAAACAGTTGGCGATGAAGCTGTCGAGAGGTTGCGAGACCGTTCAGAAGAGCAAGTGTCGACTGACGCCACTAGACGTAGTTCAGCTAGAGTCAGAAGGGAACCCAATCGATATGGAGAATGGATAAATTAAGTGGCGCGTTGGAGATAAGAGAGGGAGAGTTGTTAGGCCCTATTCAATGTTCTGGCATGTTCACGCGCGCTTAAGAGGTACCCTAGATACGAGCTATTGGAATGGCGTTTCTGGAAAAGCAATACATCGCGGTCTGCTTCAATAAAAGAGATCGAGTATGCTGATTCACTCCACAGCACTCGGACGTTTTCATTTCGCTCCGCTAAGACCTAACAATTAGGGAGGGAAG